GAGGATGAGATTTTTGACCAAAATCTTTCAGAGGAAGAGGATTCTCGCCCAGAGCAGACATCCTCTGCATTCGTCTTCAAACCTACTCTCTTCAGGCCATTACTCAGCAAGGCTTTGGTCACTGCCAAGCTGTTGCCAGAGGAAGTGGCTCCTGAGTCACAAGGAAATCCCTCTAGCCAAGGAGACTCGCTCTTCTCCAAGCCTGTAGTGCATGCAGGGTTTTGCCTTCTCCCACTTTGTTCCTGGACATGGTCAAAGAACAGTGTGCTTCCCCTTCGACAGGTCCTTGCCCATCTTCTCTGGATAAGCGTTTCTACAACGTCAGCACAGCTCTGGACAATGACCTGGTAGTGCCTTCTGTTGACATTCCGGTTCTGGCCTTGTTCTCATCTTCTGGCACTCCCATGGAGCCAGAAGATATCCTGAAACCGGATGATAAACGTTCCGAACAGACCCTCAAGCGCAATCACCAGGCTGCTGCATGGGCTGTTCGGGCTTCAACGGTAGCATCCTTTTTCACAAGGGCATCCATACGGTGGCTATGCCAACTCCAGAATAGATTGCCTGCTTCTCACCTTTGGTCTCACCTCCTTAATAAGATTATCACAGCTGCGGAATTCACTGCGGATGCCACTCAATTCTGCCAAATTTGCATCCAGGGCCATGTCATCTTCAGTAGCAGCAAGAAGACTTTTATGGCTCTGAAATTGGCAGGTGGAGTCACGCCAAAAATGGAAGCTGGCTTCAGTTCCATTCACAGACGATAAGCTTTTTGGCGATGCTCTGGAACCTTATCTCATCAAAACCAGAGATAAACATAAAATTCTCTCTTCCTCTGGAAAGAAAGCCGATTATCGCCCAGTTCCTTATCACCCTCCTGCCTTTTGAGCGGAGACCTCATCCTGCCTCCCCTGCTCTCAGAGGCCGTACGCCACCACCAATGTGCAGAAGCATCTGGCAGGCAACAATCTTCTACTGGTAAACGGCCCTTTCGGGGGGAGGGGGTCGTTCCTTCCATCGCTCTAAGTAATCCCTCGTTCTCCCCCCCCCATCGGAGGTCGCCTAGCCTTCTTTGCCTCCAAATGGGAGGAGTCAACGACGGACGCCTGGGTGCTCAGCACTATTAGGTCAGGGTAAGTTGGACTTCCCAACACCACCCCCAGAATTTTTTTTGATCTGTCCTGTCTCTCAGGACATTTCAAGGCAAGCCCTGATGAATCAGGCCATTCAACACCTTGAAATCAGGGCTATTCAACCTGTTCCCCCTCTCAATGGGAACGTGGGCTTTACTCTCGCCTTTTCATCATTCCCAAAGCCTCGGGAGGAGGGGTGGCAAGCCATCCTTGATCTCAAATTTCTCAAGGCGATTTAAATAAGGCGATTTAAAATGCAGAGTCTGCATTCTATTTTAGAGAGCGTTCGGGAGGGCGACCTCCTCTCTTCCATTGGTCTCATGGAGGCTTACCTCCACATCCCAATTTGGCCTCATGATTGCCAGTTTCTCCATTTCTGTTATCAGAATACCCATTACCAGTATCAAGCACTTCCCTTCGGCCTCTCATCAGCTCCAAGTGTCTTCACAAAGGTTCTGGCAGCATTGATGGCATCTCTGCGTTCTGTTCCAGTGAGGATCCAATGCTACTTGGATGACATTTTGATGCTGTCTTCTTCCATCCATGTGGCCCATCGGGATCTGCAAATTACCCTGTCATGTCTCCAGAGCCACGGATTTTCCATCAACAACAAAAAGAGCCAGCTCTCTCCCACAACCAAATTGCAACACTTGGGAGCAGTCATCGATACCACATCGTGCCAGGTTTTCCTGTCCCCAGCTCGTGGAAAGAGCCTTGCAGAGATCATCAGCCAGATCCAGCAACATCAAACTGTCCCCCTGTCGCTGCTCTCCAAACTTCTGGGGAAGATGGTCTCCTGTATTGGCATCCTCCCGTGGGCTCAGCTCCACTCCCGACCTCTCCAATGGTTCCTGCTTCCCTACCAATGAGCAGGAACCAGCCACTCATCCATCAAGGTCCCCTCCCGCTACAAATCCAGAGATCTCTCAATTGGTGGTGTTCCCTGTCAATCTGGAAGGGACTCCTGTTCAGGGACCCAGACAGGCTAGTGATAACCACCGATGCCAGCCTCCTGGGTTGGGGTTCCCATATGCAGGGCCAGATAGCTCAGGGTGTTTGGTCCAGGTCAGAGCAGACCCTTCCCATAAATTGACTAGAGCTCAGAGCCATTTTTCTGGCTCTCAAGCATTTCAGGCAATCAGTGACCGGCTCTCATGTTCTAGTCCTTATGGACAACATGGCCGCAAAGGCTCATGTCAAAGCCCTCATGAGAGAGGATCTATGGTTGGGGTTATGGGCAGAGAAACACCTGTTGTTGATCTTGGTGGACCACATCTCCAGGGTCGACAACTCCCAGGCCAACTGGCTCAGCAGGAGCCTAGTCGACCAGGCAGAATGGTCCATTCCTCCATCTCTATTCAGGGACCTTTCCCTCAGATTCGGAACACCAGAAGTAGATCTCTTCACTCCTCAAAGTGCCCAAGTCACCAGATTCTTTACCAGGTTTCCTTGCCAGGGAGTGGAGGGAACCAATGCTCTTTGGTGCAGATGGCCCAAGGGTCTCGTCTACACCTTTCCCCCGCTTCCCATCATTCTGGCAGTAATTCGGAAGATGTTGGAGGAACAAGTGGAGTTCCTCCTCCAGGCACCCTATTGGCCAAGGAGGCCCTGGTTTGCGGACCTGGTCAACCTATCTGTGGCTTCTCCTTGGAGGATCCTAGCCCATCTAATCTCCCTCCACCAGGGAGCCCTGCTCCACCCAGAGCCCCAGTGGTTCAAGCTGACCGTGTGGCACTTGAGCGGCAGCGGTTAGAGGAGGCTGATCTTCCAGAAAGGGTCATCCTCACTATCCTGGTGTCTCGCCAACCTTCTACAAGGCGCATCTATGATGCCACCTGGAAGGCTTTTTCCCAATGGTGCCTTAGGGAGGGTCTCTCTCCTGCTTCAGCCCAGTTGGAAGAAGTTCTTAGCTTCCTTCAGTATGGTCTGGAGAAAGGCTTGCCCCCCAGTACCTTACACAGGCAGGTTGCGGGCCTCTCCTCGGTCCTTTCATGGGATTCTCTTCCTTCCTTATCCCATCATCCTTCAGTCAGGAGGTTTTTGAAAGGGGCTTCCAACATGCACCCACTGGTGATTCACAGGTATTGTTCCTGGGACCTTCATAGGGTCCTTAATGCCCTTACAAAGCCCTCCTTTGAATCCCTTAGAACAGTGTCTCTCCGTTTCCTGACTCTGAAGTTAGTGTTCCTCATTTCCATCACTTCTGCCAGGAGGGTTTCCGAGCTTGCTGCTCTTTCCATCAGACAGGACCTTTGTTCCTTTCACAATGATAGGGTTGTTCTCCATCTGGACCCCTCATTTATTCCGAAAGTTAACACCTGGTTTCACAGGTCCCAGGACATTGTGTTGCCTGACTTCTGTCCTCTCCCGCACCATGACTTAGAGCAGCAGTGGCACCACTAGACGTAAGAAGGGCTCTTAGAATATATATTAAGCGCACTTCCTCCTTCAGGAAGTTGGAAGCCATGCTTGTTTCCTTTTTCCCCTCTCACTTGGGGCACAAGGCCTCTTCTACTATTAGCAGGTGGCTCAGGTCTTGCATTGAGCAGGCCTACAAAGCTGCGGCCCGTCCGGTTCCCCGAGATCTGATGGCGCACTCAACCAGAAGTGCAGCCACTTCTGCTGCCTGGGTGACCCAAGCATCCTTGAAAGAGATTTGTCGTGTGGCCACGTGGACATCCCTGTCTTATTTCATCAGACACTACCGTCTGGATGCCTTTGCCTCGGTGACTGCAGCCTTCAGCAAACGGGGTGCTTCAACAAGTGGTTCCACAGTCGGTGTGATGAGCCGCCCGTGGACATGCAAGCTTTGGTATGTCCCATCCTGGGCTCTCAATGCAGCATGGAGGAGAATGGGCGTTGGTAAAAGTTACCCTGAACGCCCTTTCTATCTATGCTGCAAGAGAGCCCAGTCCCTCCCTTGATTCGTCCAGAGAGGGTAAGACATACTTCTGTATTCATTTGTGCTTTCAGATACACCTTTCAGTCTGTCAAGTATCTTCGCCAAAGCTGGGGTCTCTCCTGGGGGCTGGCTTTTATATCTTAGTACAGACTCAGCTAAATGACATCATAGGAAGGAGTCAACCCATCCTGGGCTCTCTTGCAGCATAGATAGAAATGGCGTTCACAGTAACTTTTACCAACACCCAATTTCTAACAGGTTTTCACAGGCCATCAACTTATCATTTTGCTACCAAGGATTGGTAATGACAAAATGTCTTTTTCATTGATTAGTTGTTGAGAACAATTTAATGCACAATTATTCTAGAGATAGTATGTTCTAATGTTCAGAGAAATGTAAAATGTCATTGATTTTCAGTATCCATTCTCAATGTATTTCTAATTTTAAACTTCTTAGGTGACAATTTTAATTATTTTTACTGAAAAAAGAATTGATGCAACAATAATTAATGAAACTTTCTAGCTTTTAACATTTTCCAATGTGCCTATTGATGTTTGAACAAGTGACCTTGGATATAAACTTTGATCTCCTTAGGAAAATGAGACCAGAGTTTTTTCAATTATACATAATATATTCTAGGCCACAATGAATTTTTGATTTTGCACATAGCAAAAATGAGTATGGAAATTTATAAGCAATATCCAAATACTTTTCCTACTTTCCAATCTCTTGAACTAATGTTGAAAAAACATGGTCAGTCCTAAACAGTGAAAAACACCACTGTTTTGATAATATTAGGTACATTAATGTGAAGGTAAATGTCATTAAAATTCAAAAAACCAGAGTTTCTCTTTCAATTTTGGGCATTTGAGTTGATAAAATGCCTACTTGGGTTTGTAGGTGTTAATATTTTTTTTGTTTTGTTTTTAATCTGTATTTTCATTGTATTTCATCTTTCTCTACAGAAATGTGATGTGCTTTGGGAAGATTTTCACCAAAAGCTCGTAGATGGGTCATTACTAACTTTGGATACATATTTGGGACAGTTTCCTGATATTAAGGTATATCATGCCACTATGTGTCTTATGTCAAATGCTTAGCAAAAGAAGCAAAAATATTCTATTTGGAAGGCAGATAATTTGAACCTTAGACCTGCCAGCCTCTATTTGTGCATCATAATACTCTATAAAAGCTTTCTTCTAGCTGCTTATATATAATTACCAGAAAACAGACAAGGATATTGACCCCTCTGGCTAAAAGGCACTCCCTTAGAAAGTTACCCTCAACCTTAAATGTTGATAAGACTGGGGATTCTAGGTGGGATGAAGACAAATGGTTTTATTGTTTTGATTTGCCTTTGCACAAGATGTGACTAAATTTTTAAATACTTAAATAAGAATGGCAATGCGCCTGATATCCACTCAATTTTCAGGACTCCAGAGAGTGGAAAATTAGAGCAGAGATTCTGCCCCACTCACATAGCAGTCTAATATTTCCCGACCCCTTGTATCGGTCCCAGGTGTATCACATTTATCTCCTGAACCAAATCAAAGTTTATTTATTTATTTGATTTGTCAATCGCTTAAGTATAAACATGAGTAAGAATACAGGAAATAGGTACAAATAATTGGGGACAATAGACAGGGACGATAGGCACAATTGTGTACTTACGCACACCCGTTACAGACCTCTTAGGAATGGGGTGAAGTCAATAGTGGATAGTTTAAGGTTAAAGGAGTGGGGGTTAGAGGATGTAACAACAGAGTCAGGTGGTGCATTCCAGGCATTGACCATTCTGTTGCTGAAATCATATTTTCTGTAATAAAGTTTGGAGCGGTTAACATTGAGTTTGTATCTGTTGTGTGCTCTTGTATTGTTGCAGTTGAAGCTGAAATAGTCATTGACTGGTAGGACATTGTAGCAGATAATTTTGTGTACTACACTTAAGTCCAACCGTAGGCAGCGTAGTTCAAGTTTGTCCAAGGCCAAAATTTCAAGCCTGGTGATATAGGGTATTCTGTTGCGAGCAGAGGAGTGTAGTACTCTTCTCATGAAATACGTGAAATACTTGAAGTTGAAACCATCTCTATGAGAATCTGATTTATATACCATTTATTTCTTTGGAGGTGGGGGCAGTTTGTGAATGGAACATGACTTGTTTTAAGTCTAAATAAATTATTTGTGGTTTGGCTATATAATTCCTCTGGTTTATCCAATAATATTTTTCATAAAAGCATTCTAGATTGTCATGAACATTCATGGAACAAAACTGATAAAAGGATTTGCTATATGTTTTGTGCTAGGATTGCTAAATCTTTACTGTATTAACTAAATATCTTTGTCAAGGCATGCATGTTCTCCTGACATTTGAAATAGTACATTGTTTTTACCTTTTCTTTCAATTACTATATTTGCCTTACTGACCAACCTGATTCAATCACAAAGAATGGTCAGTGAGTTTTGTGTTTAACATCTTTGGTTTTTTTTTTAATCATAAGTACAAAGTTGTCTTCTTGTATCAGCACTTTGAGGTAGAGCAAAACAAGAAGCATACTCTAGCTCTATCTGTATTGCAAGGCTACATGAGCAAATTGTTGCAAGTCTGAAAATACACTTTTCCTCCCTAATCTTTACAGTCCAAACTAGATAGGACCTATTTTGAAATGTTTGCTGTGCTTCTATTCCTTCTGTGGGCTCCACTGCCTCTTCTCTGACCATTGCCTAGTCTGTGGCTCTTTCTCCTATCTGCCAGGGTCATTCCCATATATTATTACACCTAAACCTTTCATTACTAAAACATACTGCTGCTCTGTTTGAATTTAATTTCAGAATTAAATGTATAATTTTTAATATTATAATTATTCTATTGTTTCCCTTCTTTTGCATAGTTTATTGTGGTACTATTTTAATCCTTATCACAAATGAGTAAATGCAATAAAAACATTTTTAATTTTTAGGCTTTAAAAAAAAATATTTGGAGAAGATTTCATATGTTTTCAATAAAGTCTGGAGCAGCAAATTTTAAATTGTATGTTGAATAGAAATATGGAATTTTAAAAGTTCAAAGTCTGTGGCTTTTGAAATGATGTGTTTTCTTTAGTCAAGAGTTTTCACTTTGAAAAATATAATCTCCATGCCTGGATTTTTTTAAAAAATAAAAACAAAAACTACATTTATGGGCCTCTTATCATTTTAGTTTTATAACAACAACTTTTCCAGGAATATTAGGGAGAGAGAAAGTGATAATTTAGGCATCTGAATGAAAAAAAAAGGAGACTTGAATCTAGTTCACATACACCACACTGGCTTAGTTTTTAAGTGATGGAAGAAACTCATAATATTTTTAAAACAGGAAAGTTACCTTTTATTGTGATTTTTTGATTTGGATATCATTATTTACAGAATCGCATTGCAAAGCGGAGCAGGAAGCTAGTAGACTACGATAGTGCAAGACATCATCTGGAAGCTTTGCAAAGTTCAAAAAGAAAAGATGAAGGGAGAATTTCTAAGGTGAGAGAGAGAAAGAGATACAACAATATTATAATCTTTATAAGACATGCAGGGAGTGAATGAGATTAATCTCTGTTTAGTGCTGTTAAGTTGTGTTTTATCATTCGCTTGGGCTATCAATATTGCAATATTAGCATGAGCCAATCATGTTAAATATCACTAGTTGTAGTACATTGATAGTATATCACAGATAGCCAATAATTAAGATGTCCATAAATGACATCTAGATCATGCCTCTGGGATTAGCATTTCCAAATAAAATAACATTTTCTCTTCAATATTGCTCTGGAAATTAATTCAGTATGTGGATGACACATCCCTGTGTTATTGAGTTTAAACAGATTCAGATATAATTTTGTGGGAGGTCCTTCCTGGATGTATTAGATTGTCTTTTCCTTAAAGGAGCTTTACTCCTGGTACACCCATTTCCTTGGCCGTAGTACAAAAGTTACTGTCTTCAGTCTTAACAAACTTCTCATTGTTTTTCAGTTTTTCAGCCCAGCCTACACTGCTGAAATCCCTTTGTGATTTCTGTCCTAGTGCTAATAGGACTCTGTTTAATTTTGGGAAAGTAGGACAGTTATAATCCAATGCTTACAAATGACAATATGTTAGCAAAAGCTGATAAAGCTCTTGGAGTTATATCAAAGTATCATCACATATTAAATCAAATATAACTGATGACTTCATAAAACCTGTACAGATTAATGTCAGAAAAATTTAGCATAGGTGTGAATTAGATATCTGCGGGATTTTTTTTTTTTTTAGTTTTCAAATAAGATTACAGAAGACTGGTTCTCTCTTACAGCAAAGAGGAAATTTGAAGATTGTCACTTTATTTTTGCTCTACTTTCCTACTAAGTGATTAATTAATTAAAGTTGTATTTAGTGCTTGAGAGGGATAGATATGTGTTTCAAGATTTCTGTATCAGATTTCAAAATGATTGGCTGGGGATGCTCTTTACTTTGATAATGGAAGTAAAAGCATCATTTGCTGTGCAGCCTTAGGATGCATAGTATTTTGATCTGACCTGTTTTAAATAGTTACAGTTGTGAAGAGAACGAATAACTTTTATAAGAATGGTAGTATACTGGAAGAGAAGGCTTAATGTTTTCCTTTACAGCTATGATTTCTGCTGCAAAAAAGAAAGAAAGAAAATCCCATTTGATAGGACTGTAAGCTTTCTTTTAAAAAGTTCCCATAGGCATTAAATGACATTTTCTCATTAAAGCTTTATTGCCATCCACTTATTTTAAGGGATTGGGAATGGAGAAAGAAGGGATAAGTGACTAACACATGCACAATTGCACATTTGTTATGATATTGAATCAGGACATTTAAAACAGTAGCTTTTTCTTTTTAAAGGCTTGGTTGTATGGTGTCCCTAAAATTTAGGTTTAGCTTTAAACTCAACAACTTCAGCTAAGTGCAATGAAGGCAGTAATAAGCTATTCATATTCTGAGTCACATTACCAATATACCAATATACCCCCTAGTATAATAAAAATTATCAGCAATTTAAGAAAAATTAAAAATTATTGACATTATACAATAATGAGTAAGTCTTAAATTCATTCAGATTAAAGCAAGGAAGCTGGAATCTCATTAGATCTTCAGGGTATTTTAACAAAAAAAATCTCATCAAATTTAAGATTCTTTAATTTTCTTTTTTCTTTTTGTTTGGTACCAGGCATCTGAAAAAACAGTCAACCTCTGCATTAAGCTCTGAGACTGACTGCTTTTGTCCTTAAAAGGAGTACAAACCCAAAGAAATCCCACCAGGAATAATATGTTGTATTGTTCAGAACTGTTTTGTTTCTTTTTTCCCCAAAAAAGTTTGCTAGGTATTTCACTTTGTTGTAGGCAGAAGAAGAGTTTCAGAAAGCACAGAAGGTATTTGAAGAATTTAACACTGATTTGCAAGAAGAACTACCATCTTTATGGTCAAGGTATATTGTTTGGAAAGTTATGTGCTTCATCTTTTTATTTCCCCAAAGCTTTTAAAAAAATAAATTGTAGTTTCTCTATGATCTTTTAATGGCATCTTTGTACCCTTAGAAAAATTCATTGGCTGTTCTAACAGTCATTTTCTTATTAGCACAGTGAACTAAGTAACTATGATTCAAAAGTGGAGCTTTTTGAGAAACTAAATCTTAATTTTATTTTCATTAAGTGTTGGAGACATCTAACTCAATGAGGGAACAAACAAAAATAATGAAAACAAAAGGGCAAACCTTGTGCTTCCAAATATGTTTCACTGTCCATTGTGTGTAGAGCAAGCCCAAGCAATAGGGATCTACACTATGGAGATAAATGTATCTAAAGAAAGCTTAAGTTTAATATCATGCTAGAAATTTGCAAAAAAAGAGGTTGTTTGCCCATTCAAGTTATACATGTAAATTATATAAGTTTTACATTTTCAGGATTCTTTGAATAAGAATAAAATGTGCTGTGTCCATATACAATAAGCAGTTTCTCATTTTTTTCTTTCTTTCTTTACAAACTTTTCATCTTTACCTGTCATTTCTACTTAGGCGTGTGGGCTTCTATGTGAACACGTTTAAAAATATCTCCAGTCTTGAAGCCAAATTTCATAAAGAAATAGCTTTGGTGAGTAAATACATAGAGAGATATAGATATAGATAAATGCAGTGTAAAAGTAAGGAAGAAGGTATAAAATATAAAGCTGTCAATAAATACATATTTAATCTGTAAAGGTTGATTCAGCTTTCCATCCTTCCAAGATTGGTAAAATGAGGACCCAGATTTTTGGGGGCAATATGCTGACTATAAAACTGCTCAGAGAGGGCTATAAAGCATGTAAAGTCTAAGGGCTATTGGTATTGCTAACTGCAGCAATATCTTTTTGTGATTAAACTTATTGCTCTAATTATAATTATTGTAGACTAGACTAATGCTAAAATTATTATAGCAATAATCATCGTTTGTTAAGTTGATTCCTTGACTTTGTTGTTGCCTGTGTTGTATCTTGCCTATGCTGGTTCTTTTTTTATATCAATTTCTTATCTTTGTTGTTTTTTTAATCTTGGTTTTTTTTTCTATTAGCCACTAGAGTGATATGCTTGAGATATGCTTGAGATTGACACTCATGTAGAATGAATGAATGGGAACTTACTGGGTGATATGATAATAATAAAACAAGTAAGCTTTCATCAACTGGAATTTAAGAGAAGACTTCTGCTTCTCAAGCTAAAAAAAAACCTGTGAATGATTCGGAACTTAGTATAATAGAGCAAGGTGAGTTTTTTAGGATGATCACAAATGTCAGCCTAGATTACAGATAGCCCTCGGCTTATGACTGTAATGGAGCCTGCTATTATGGTTGCAAGTCACAATCACCTCACTTAACAAATCTCTCTGCTTTCCCTGATGCAATAATTAATTGACTATGTGAATTACTAAATGGAGCATGGGGTGCCTCAGATATGGGAGAGGCCCAACTTACCTACCCAAAGTCTCCTAAGACTCTTCTACCTCCTGAGGTACCTTGTGTTGTATTTCCTGCCCTCAGAATCTTCCTGCCTTGGGCCTGCTTTCCCATTCCATCAAATCCCATGCCTTCCTTTTCACCCCCATCACCCATCATGCACTTATCATATGTGGCTCTCCAAAGATTTGAATATCTGCAGAAAGTAAGTGGACCACACTCCCAACCTCCAATCTGTCACTTACCATTTATTTACTTAATAATTATTTGTCTGCCTATCTTACTACAGGGTAACTCTGGGAAGTTTACAATATTAAAAGATAAAATTACATGAATAAAATATTCCAAAATATAAAAATATAAAATACAGTAGGTAAAAATGGGGATGGGTGAATAGGATTAGCAGGTATGATCCAATATTAATCTGTCAACCACCTTCAACATGAAGCTCCTTTTCTGGAGCTCCAACTCAACTGGCAGAGCTCATGCACAAGATCAGGAGAGTTGGAGCAGACCTCACTCCAGGAGTCAGGATGTTCCAAAGTAGAGGGGCAATAGCAAAAAAGGCTCTTCTCCTGGACTCTACCAGCCAGAATACCCTAGCCAATGGGGCCTGCAATATGCCTCTTTTGCTGGCATGGGTGGTGTGGGCCAATCCCAATGAGACAGGTCCTCAAGTAATCTGGCTTTAAATGAAAGGCTTTAAAGGTTATTACGAACACCTTAAATTGCACCCAGAAGTAAACCATCAGCCAGTGCAGCTCGCGGAGCAGTGATGTTACATTGGTCACCCTTGGGACCCCAGCATTGCCTGTGCCACTGCACTCTGTACCAGCTGTAGCTTCCAAATGCTGTTCAAGGGTAGCCCCATATAGAGTGTGTTATAGTAGTCCAGCCATGAGATGATTAGGGCTTGAATGACTGTGTGCAGGAACTACTGATTTTGTAAATCTCCAAAGCTTTGGAGTTCATGTTGGAGAAGGGGAGCAGGCCACTCCATCTTTCATTCTCCCTAGACTGTATGGCATAGTCTCAGAAACACCATTTTCTGGGACTGCACCATGCAGCCTCAGGAACATAAGGGATAGAACTCATGTTGAGGAGGGAGAACAGGCCCCTCCACCCTCCTTGGGATCCCTGCAGGCTACATGATATGATTATGGAGGCAACTGGCACAATTAATTGCAGATGCTGTGAAAATGGTGCCCACTTCTGGGGTTGTGCCACATTAATGCAAGTTGGGGAGCTCCAGAGATCTTCCAAAGGTAAGTATACATTGGGTGATTGAGAGGGTGGAGGAGAAGGTATGGGATCCAGTAAAGTGGGAAGCAGGCCCAAGGTTTATGGGAACCTGATGGGGAGAGGGAACTGGGTAATAAATAGCTTTTGAGGCATTATCATAACTTCAAATGGTTCGTAAACAGCTGATCATAAGTCGAGAACTACCTGTAGCTCTCTTTTCTCAAATAGAATTTTAGACTTAATACATGTATCAATAATACCACATCATGAAATCTTATATAAAATACTGAAATACATTCCTGCTGTGAAACTATGGAGGCCATTATAATGTTTCTTTCCATAGTAGAAAATGCAGTAATTTGAGTTTTATGCATGGCTTTAATATTTAATCCATTCTATATATTAAAAAACCCACCCCCTTTTATAATCATGTAATCATTTAATTCAGGGTAGAGTTGAGGCAACTCAATGGAGCTGAATGTTTACAGGATGGATGCCCTTCCTGATGCCACATATAGTTCACAGCGGGGGGGGGGGGGTTCTACCCTAGGAAAGAAATTCCTGCCACTACTTAGAATTGAACTCTCATCTTCCAAATGGGAGGCAAGCATCTTAAGCACTAGAGCTCTACACCACTCCTATCCATTCTGTACCCTTGTACCTAAAAATAAATCTCTCATTAATGATAATTTATACACAGATACCAGGTCTGTGTGAAAGGTACATCTGTACCAAACTATTTCTACTTACATATACACATTGCAATAGCTATGATGATGGAGATAAAACATAAAAGGAACTTAGAACATTGTTTACTTTGATCTTGTTGAGAATGTCAAATTGGGCAGTTGGTAAGGAAATGGGAAATCCCAGAACGTCTGATTGTCCTCATGCAAAAGCTATACACAGATCAGGAAGAAACAATTGGGAACAACATAGTAAAGGAGACTGGCTCCTGGTCAGCAAAAAAGTAAGACATGGTGACATATACTCTCACTTTATTTATTCAATCAATATGATATATTTGGGAGAGAGGTTAGATTGAAAAGAAATGGGCATGCTTTTAAAAGTAAAGGAAAAAAACATGAATAATCTATGCCTGTGATGGTGAACCTATGGCACGCATGCCACAGGTGGCACGCAGATCCATTTGTGCAGGCATGTGAGCCCCAGCCAAACTTACCTGCACTGTGCATGCATGCACCTCCCAGCTGATTTTAGGCCCATTTGAGGCCATTTTCCCTCTCCTGAGGCTCGAGGGAAGCTTCTACAGCCTCGGGAAGCTGAAAAATGGGCCCTCCGGAAATACCAGAAGTGCCCGTTTTCAGTGTCCAGGTGGCCTCTGGAGCTTGGGGGAGGCTATTTTCCACCCTCCCAAGGTTCAAGGGAAGCCTCTTCAGCCTCGGGAGGTTGAAAAATGGGCCTTCCAAAAATACCGGAAGTGCTGAAACAGACCCATTTTTAGCCTCCCGAGGCTTCACTCGAGCCTTCGGGTGGGTGAAAACAGCCTCCCCCGAGAGAGAGACCCTCCGGAGGCTGAAAATGGGCACTTCTGGTATTTCCGGAAGACCCATTTTTTTCGGCCTCTGAAGCTGAAGAGGCTTCCCTCGAGCCTTGGAAGGGTGAAAACAACCTCAAATAGGCCAAAAATCAGCTGGGAGGCATGTGCAAACACAAGGGGTAAGGGGGCGGGAGTGCTGCGTGTGCGTGCACGGGAGGCACATTGCATTGTGGGTGCCAGCACACGCGCGCGCTATCACATGCGCACTTTCAGCACACCACAACTAAAAGGTTCGCCATCACTGACTTATGCTAATAATGCTTTTTTGATAGCCGAAAATGCAAAGCTATAGTGATGAAAGTCCAGGGACATAATGAAAAAAATATTTAATTACAGTTAAATATAAAGAATACCAAGGTAACAAACAGCTTTTAGAACTGACAATTAAGATATTTAGATTGATTTTGCTTTTTGTATCAATTTAGTAATCAATCTTATGCAAAAATATGAAACTGTCAATAAATAAGCCATACGCATTCAGCAGAGCAGTGCTTTTCAATCCGTGGTACACGTACCATAGGTGGTACTTTGGCATCTGGCAGGTGGTACGCATATGGACGGTTGAAAAGCACTGTAAAAAATGTCATAAAAAGTGTAGCGGAGGGTGAGCTAAAGTCGCAGTAGTGCCACACAGGTCTGTGGGAGAGTCAGCTGGAGCTGCAGTGTTGCCAGGTCTCTGCTGAGCATCCAAGGTCTGTGCATGCAGCCCCAGCTGATTGGCGCTTCCGATAGCAGCATGCAGCCTTGGGGGGAGGTGTCAGCTAGGGTTATACCAAAAAGAAAAGGAAGAGGAAGGTTAAGAGAGTAGATCGTATAAAAGGAGGAGGTTTTGATGGGAAAGGGAGAGGAAAAAAAAGATGGCAGGAAGGGACAAAGAAAGACAGACAGAGAAGAGGACAAGCTTTTTTGAGACAAGCAGAGGGAGAGAAGAAGCAAAGATTAATGTCAGAGAAACAGGAACAATATTCCCATTAAAAGTGTGATAGGTGGATGTACAGATAGTCCTCAACCTATGACCAAATTTATGACCCAGAAACACTGCAACCATCATAAATATGAATCAGTTGCCAAGCATCTGAATATAAATTACATTACCCTGGAGATGCTGCAACAGCTATAAGTATGAAAAATGACCGTGTCATTTTTTTCCAGTGCCATTGTAACCTTGAACTGTTGTACTTGAACTGTTTCACTTGAACTAAGTGAACTGTTGTAAGTCGAGCACTACCTGTACTTTATCAGTTTTTTCCTTTCTTTTTTTTGGTCAAGTTTTTGACACTTTGCTAGGTGACTGATGGTACTCAAATATTGCCATATCCTAAAAGTGGTACAATCTGTGAAAAGGTTGAAAAGCACTGCATTAAAGAAGCTGTGAAGGCCTTGGAAAAGAGAATGACCAACATTCTCTTGGTCATTCTCTTCTCTTTTCCAGAAAGAGGAAAAAATGTCTGGATTCAGTTACAAGGGGAATTGGTGCATTACTAGAAGGCCTAAAGGACAGGTTTGGAGACAGATCATCACAGAGATAATCTGTGTGCTTGTTAAGAGTTGACACAGTTTTGATGGCACGTAATCAATAAATCAATCATTTTATAAACTAATTTCTGATTAATGCAGTTAGTAAAATGAAGTTCCATATCTAATAGGCACAGAGATTTTTTTGTTTGAAAATACACATATATACAATATGTGTCAGTAATTCCCAACTCCCGGGCCACAGCCAATTACTGAGCCCAGAGCCAATTGCAACCAGGCTGTGGCAATGTGTGTGCGCACATGCATCCTCTCTTGCACAAGCAGCAGGCAAGCGCACACTCCCTTTGCGCGAGCAGTCGGTGCGTGTCTCCATTGTTCATGCAATGGAGTTTCACATGCATGTGTGCACTTGTCCGCCACTTGTGCAGGATCATCCCCTCTCCCTCCTCCACTGGTCCACAAAGGTGGTAATGTTGGGGAATTCCAATTTAGGGTAATCTAAATTCGCAGATTAGTTAGATTTTGACCGGAGATATACAGATATTATTTGATAGTTTTAAATATATTGTTTTGTTGCATCAAATTGGTGTAGCTGTCTATCAATCAGAATAAAGCTGGAAGGGACCTTGGCGGTTTTCTAATCCTACCTCCTGCTCAAGTAGGAGATCCTATACAGTTTGAGACAAATGGTTGTCCAGTTTTTTCTTAAAAACCTCCTGTAATAAAGTATCCACATCTTCTGAAAATAAGCTGTTCCGTGGTTAATTGTTTTTACTGTTAGAAAGTTTCTCTAGAATTCTCCTTGGTTCTAGTTTGCTTCTTTCCTTGATTAGTTTCCATCCATTGTTTCTCGTCTTGCCTTCTTGTGCTTTGGAAAATAAGTTGACTTCTTTGTAGCAGTCCTTCAAACAATAGAACACTGCTATCCACTGCTGTCCACTTTCTCTGGTTCAAACTGTTTCCAGATAACTTGGCAAGACTTTTCTCCAGGCATCTTTCCTGGACCTGGAACAAGGCCAGCACTCAAGGAATTAATCCAATCAATTTTATCCAACAGAATCTACAAAATTCCTCCACATTCATGTTAGAGTTTCTCTATGCCCAACAGAGCATGTGTCATACAAAGTAGGGCTGCAGGGGAGCAATCTGCAGATGCAATAAGAATAAACAAGCACTGATACTTTACTGCCTTTATTGCCACAAAGTAGGCCTTAATAGCAGCACTGACTCATGATTAAATTTGTCCTTCACTGAATACCAGATTAACTAAATTATGGTATCTATTTTATCAATGTATCTATTTTCTGTCTTAGTAGATTGAATGTTAATTGCATTAAATATTAAATTGGAGTCATTCTCAGCTGCAGTTGCCACATTTATTGCAAACTATTAATAGCTGTAAAAGCAGCTTTATAAATATCACATAAACAATTCTACAAGGAATCATAGTTGATTTGTGCTAGCTATTTAAATTTTGTATTTTCATATTTGAACCCTGGAGAAGAAAGCATATTTAGATCTGATGCAATGAAGATCTTTCCAAATATATTCCAGTGCAATAAATTCCATTTATTGTGTTGGCCTTAATTTTTCTTCAAATCAGTTGTACAGAAGGTTGAATTTGTCATATGCCCAAAGGTGTAAGTAGGGCTTTTGGGGCTCGGACCCCCAACAGCATATCTCTCCAACAGGCTCCCCAATGATGAAAAAGCTCGTGAATCAAGGTCCCTCTGGGTTAAGGTACTTCAGGATGGGCAGGAGAAAGGTAACTGGAGTGCAATTTAGTTGTTCCTTCTATGCTGCATCAGAAGAATGACCTCAATAAAAGTATCTCCTCTCCTCTTCAGTCATCCCCAAGTATTTAATCTTCGTCTTCTCTTCTCAATAGAACACATCCATTGATGAGCACAGCACAAGCTATCCTCAAATTTTAGATGTGTGAAATCTTCTAGGGCCTAGGCATACAGGTTATATTGGCTGTACACATTTGGATGAACACTACATGGCAATGGTAATTTCATGATCTAATTTGCTGCCACTGATCATTTGGAGTTGTTGCTCAAATTTGTTAGGCTAATTTTCTTTATTACTTCACAAGAAAGGAGGAGGAAAATGAGTGCAAGACTGGTAGCAGTTTCCTAGAAAAGTATCCACACCTCCAAGGCTTCCACTTCTAGTGCATATTCAGGTTATTATTGCAACAATCAATTTAATACTATAAGAAGGAGAAGTAATACTGCCAGCACACTCTCATTCCCTCCATTTGTCTGTGCTGTTGCTGTTCCAAGATAGTTCCAAGTTCATGCATAGGCTAATGTGTCTGCGATACAAATATCTTAACAACCATGAGATGTAGCAACAAAGAGATGTGGAAGTTCATAGCCCTACTTCATGCAATCAAATTTGTTGAAGCTGTGGTGTAGGAACTAGACAGTAAGAGGGAGCCCACTCCCTGTACTCATGAACTCTCAGATAGCTGCTTCCCTAGCCTTTTCTACTGTAGATAATATAATTGTAACAGATTTTGTTAGATTTTATAGTTGATTAAAGCACCCTATCTAACCATAACTTGAGCTTCATAACCCAAAGGTGCTAAATCTGAAAAGCATCTTGTCTTTATCCTGATTTCTATAAATGACACCAAGCATTTATAAACCCTTTTTCTCCTTCATTTTTTTCACTGATTCATCCCAGCAAACAAATTATTATTTGGTATATTATAAGTATTAAGTGTGAAATTTTGCATTTGTGTAATATGTGTGACGGTGATAATGTCCCATATTTGAAATTGTGTTTAACCTTAGTTCCATTGTCTGGAAACAAAAATTAACAGTGTTATTTCCCTCCACCGTTACCAAAGTAGCTTTGTTAAAATGACAGTTTTGTTGTGGTGATTTTTCTCCTCAGCTCTGCCACAAACTTTATGAGGTGATAACTAAATTGGGAGAACAGCATGCTGACAAGGCCTTCACAATCCTTGGGGCACCCAGGTAAAAATCTTTTATCAAACTGCAGCTAAATGTACAAATAATATGATCTGGTTATTAGACAGAGTAAAATAAATAAGTTGATAGTAAAAAATGTTTATTGAATATGTGTGTTCATCTTTTCTATCAGTGAATTATCTATCTGTGCATTAAAAGGACACTTTAGTTGTTAGAAATTCAATATAATTTTGTAAAAGTAAATTATATGTTGCACTGGAAAAAGGATGGATATTTACGAGAGATGATTAAGGAACCCATTATTTGCCAATTCCAATGCAAACTGACTCCACTGGTAATTTCCAGTTCATGTGCAGTTCAGTGTGCAGTTATTATCTGGATTCTCAGTTCCCCAAATTTTGACAGTTCAAAGGAACTAAAATAAATATAAAGCTATATATGTGTGCTGTATTTGAAGATAATGTATTGTTTTCTGAAAAATAATAATTGTAATATGCATATGCAATATTCAAATGCAATTTTCATATTCCTTTTTGTAACAAATATAAATGAATGCAAAATGGATAGAATGCATTCAGCTGAGAAATGAGTGCAGCCTACAGGGAGAGAATTGTGGTCTCTAATTTCCAAATGTGGGTTTTGTGCCTGGACAGAGAAGCTTCTAGAGTTTGGTGGAAATAACCCCTTCCACCAATACTAGGCAGGGCTCTTATCAAAGTAATTTCAGCAAACTTCCTTTAAGATGTTCTTCTGTCTAAGTTATTTTGGCAATGAGATTCAATCTTCCACCCTAATCCAGCAGTATAATTTGGATTTCTCAGAGAGATACTGCTCCTAGAAGGATTCTCCTTTCTTTGGTCATTTGATTGCAACCAGAAACTCCTTTGGTATAGAGCTCATTCGTGATAAAAAAAGAATTAACCTCTTACCTGTAACTGCAATTCTTGAGGTGATCATTGGTTAATTCATACAATTTAGCCTTCTAATTGAGATGGTAATTTCATGGTTCCCTCAGTTTGCTCAATTAGTCTTAAGAACTGAAGGATCTTGGTAAGAACTGTGGTTGGTTATATGATTGCAGGAGATATCTAGGCTCTGATCAATGACTGCTATAGATTGGGAGGCCAGAAATCATCTGGAAAAATGATACTTTGGTAAAACTGCCAAGAAAACTGGATGAATGTATTCATGAAATCACCAGGAATCAAAGCTGAGTCAGAAGAAACTTGTTGTTACTGGTCTACATTAGACAGGGTTCAAAAATAACAGAATGTGTCCACCTGCTAAAGGCAAAATGTACTTATTGTAGGTGCTAGCTAGATGCAAGCTTTTATTTCCTCATTGAACTTTTTCCAGTACTGAAACTGTTGTGAATGAATAAAATTACTAAGCCTACATGCAAAGCAGGTTTTGGAAGCCTGCACATTTGATTGGTCCTTAAACAATGAACAAGGATTGGTTCATAACAAGGCCCTGATTGGCCAAGCTTAGGACACTTCTTATTGGTTATTAGTTTAAACTTGATGCACTTAGTATTGGTTAATAGGGTAGCAGCCAACCCTATAAAAGGGGTTACTGCTACCCATAGTCTTCTCTGTTCTGTTCTATTTACTGTTAATAAAGAGTTGAAGTCCCTGGTCAGATGTCTGGTCTCCCTTACTCTCCAAACATAACACTGGCGACGAGGATGGGATGCGGAGACCGGAGAGCTGACTGATCTACAGAGCAACACACAGAGCACATGGTCGAACACGCACCATCAACGGCAACATGGCCAGCGGTGCCGTACCACCCGCTCCATTCAACCCAGAAACCGAAGACTGGGAGTCGTACATGGATAGGTTCCAGATGTTTCTGGAGACCAACAATTTGAAAGATGCAACAACCGGCAAAAAAAGAGCTATATTTCTAACTCACTGCGGGCCTACCGTGTTTAAAATGGCAAAATCACTTGCCAAGCCAGCCGAAGTAAAAGAGATGGACTGGGACGTCCTCGAGCCTTTGCTACGGGCTCACTACGCGCCCATCGTGCCAACCTTAGTCAGAAGACACGAATATTACCAGAGGGACCAACGGAAAGGTGAAAGCCTTGCCAACTACATCGCAGACCTCCGAAACCTTGGAGGCCTCTGCGGATTCTCTGATTTAGAAGAAGCCCTCCGAGACTGCCTGGTTCTGGGCCTAGAAGACGGCACGATCCAGAGCAAAATTATGGCTAAGGGGGACATCAGCCTCACCAATGCCCTCAAAGAAGCCACTGCAGCAGAGGCGACCAAAAAGTCGGCAGCCCGAATGCGCCGCACCAACGCACCGCTACGTCAACTCACCAAAGATACCTCGCCTCACACAGAGAGACACCCGGTATCGACTCACCACAAAGACCTAGAATCCCCGTCAGATAGCGATGAGGAAGAGGTCAACCGACTCCGAACGGATCGAGACCAGTCCACACAATGCTCACTTCGACCGTGTGCAGGGTGTGGAGCGAATCACCCACGATCCAGCTGCAAATTCCTCGACGCACTCTGCCGCGTTTGCGGGAAAAGAGGTCACATCGCAAAGGTTTGCAGAAGCAAACAAAACTCCAAACCCCGACAGGCCGAATACCAGTCTTCAGGATTCTTCGGCACACCCCGAGACAAACTGAATCACCAATGTGGAAGCCACTCCTACAGAAACAAACCGTCCACCACTTCCACCAGGCGTGAAGAAACCAGGCGGGAAGAGACCCACCAAACAATTACCATAGGCCACGCTACATCCCTTGATGCTGGGAAAATCCGAGTAGAGGTTGCTATCGAAAACAAACCTTGTGTAATGGAGGTGGACTCAGGATCATCCCTCTCGATGGTGTCCTGGAAGACGCTTCAACAGCTCATTCCGACGATTCGCCGCCAAGACCTAAACCCTCAAAGGGTTATCCTCAAAGATTACCAGGGTAACCGAATTCCCGTTGTCGGGTCCCGCCGATTCCAGGTCTCTTTCAAGGACCGCACTGTCGCACTGCCACTGACTGTCGTGGACCGTGACCGGCCTAGTCTTTTAGGCCTTCAATGGTTCAGACCGCTTGGAATCACTGTAGCCGGAGTCCACCGTGCCGAGAGCAACGATTGGGAGGAAGCCCTCGTGCAAGAATTCCAAGACGTTTTCGCGAACGGACTAGGCAAGTACAAGGGGACCCCGATCTCATTTAACTTGAACCCAGAGGTAGCACCCATCCGCCTTAAGCCGCGTCAGGTGCCGTTCGCCCTGAAACCTAAAATCGATGAACAACTCGATAAGCTAATAGAACAGGGCGTGCTGGAACCCACCGACCACCCCCGATGGGAAACCCCAATAGTGACGCCTATCAAGCCTGATGGGTCACTGAGAATTTGCGGAGACTACCGGGCCACCCTAAACCACGCACTTCAGCAAAGTGCGTATCCAGTGCCGGTAGTGCAACACCTGGTCCATTCCCTGGGTGGCCGGGAATCGACAAAAGAATCGAGGCCTGGGTCGCTACTTGTCAACGTTGCCAAGACGTCAGCAACGCCCCACCTAAAGCAAGCCCAACCGAATGGGAAACTCCGAGAGGACCATGGTCCCGTATCCATATTGACTTTGCGGGGCCTACAAAAGGGCACACTTTCCTTATTACAGTCGATGCCTATTCCAATTGGCTCGAGATCCATCGAATGAGCACAACTACAACGGACTCAGTTATCAGCAAATTAAACAGGTTATTTGCCACACATGGTTTTCCGGACGTCCTCGTCTCGGATAACGGCCCACAGTTCACAGCATTACCATTTGAACAATATCTTGCTGACTGCGGCATCCGCCATGCGCTGACCTCGCCCGCGCACCCTGCGGCGAACGGGCGTGCAGAGCGCATGGTACAGTTTGTAAAAAAGACCCTCCACAAAATGGAATTCGGAAACATCGATGAGAAAATCAATCGGATTTTATTGTTGCAGCACATCACGCCCCACAGCGTTACCAACAAAACGCCCGCCGAACTTCTTATGGGGCGGAAACTACGATCGCACCTCGACCGGCTCCGCCCCGCATATGCACCCGAAAAGCCTTTCGGCTCCAGCAGCAAATGCTGGGAATTTAAGGTAGGCGATTTAATCTTTGCCAAAAACTTCTCCGGCGACCCTTTATGGATTCCCGCAACCGTTACCCACCTTACTGGGCCTAAATCTTACCGCCTGCTAACAGACGATGGGAGGGTGTGGAAACGCCACATAGACCAATTCCGTTCGAGATTACTACCCAGCGCCCATGGCTCCCCGGGTTCACCAACTGAGGGGGGAGGCAATATCGAGGAAATTGACTACGATATGACGGATAGCAGGCCAACGGAAAACCTACGGCCCAGCGAAGTACCAGGGATTGAAGCGGGGAGGGAGTTGACTTTTCCATGGGACTTGAACACAGGGGAAACTGAACTGCGAAACCCCGAAGAAACACTGATTGGCGGAGACAACAACAACGGAAGCAGCACGGAATCACCGTGCAGCGAAACGGAACTTAATAAAGATCATCCAAACGCTCCACCGGAACCGGACTTGAGAACAAACCCGGTGGAGCCACGGAAATCATCCAGACAGACCAAACGGCCTGTCTACCTTGAAGATTTTGTTACAGCTCCCCTCAAACGGAACCCAAGGGGGAGGGGTGTTGTGAATGAATAAAATTACTAAGCCTACATGCAAAGCAGGTTTTGGAAGCCTGCACATTTGATTGGTCCTTAAACAATTAACAAGGATTGGTTCATAACAAGGCCCTGATTGGCCAAGCTTAGGACACTTCTTATTGGTTATTAGTTTAAACTTGATGCACTTAGTATTGGTTAATAGGGTAGCAGCCAACCCTATAAAAGGGGTTACTGCTACCCATAGTCTTCTCTGTTCTGTTCTATTTACTGTTAATAAAGAGTTGAAGTCACTGGTCAGATGTCTGGTCTCCCTTACTCTCCAAACATAACAGAAACAATCTGAAACCATTTGTCTTTTCACATGTTATTTTATTTATTGGTATACTGTGAGCATTTCTAAAGTTAGACCAGTTTCATTGAAAACATAACTATTTTAGGATTCATTTAAAAAAAATTATTAGTAAATAGTTAATCCTTCTCGCTCCTTCTCCAAATTTGTAAGGGGTGGGGAGAAGAGGTGAATGTCTTCGAAAAACACAAAGAAAATTAATTTAAAAAGGGAAATGTTTCCTTAATCATTCAGTTTTCTATTTCTTTGTCTAAGTATGCTATTATTAAATGATATACACAAACAGCAGTAGAATTCTTAAAAAAAATTAAGGAGGGTCAAAATGGGAAATACCTTGTAAGTTTCCCCTGGAGAAAAGCGTTTTCATTAGTTTTATTAGGCATACCAGGACTGTACTTATCTTTCCATAGCCATTCAGCATACCTTCATTATGGATTTGTTTTATGTCATGACTGGTGTGTTGAATATCAGTGTATTGTTACTGTTTAACTGGCTGCATCATGTCTCCTCAACCAAGATGGATTGATCTTCATCTACTTTGATGCCTACCAGCATGACTACGGGGATTGTTCAGACTGGTTCTGATTATGGGACATAAGGTCTATTTTATCTGAAGGCTAGGTAAAGAATGGGCCATATAAATCTTGATTAACCATTCAAATATTTTTAACAAGTAAACAACATTAAAGCAGCACCTAAGTAAATCATTGAAAGGTCAGAAGATGAATGAGTTCAAAAAATAAATTGCACTTTCTGAAAGCACTTTTTTTTTTTGCACCAGGCATGTTTGCACACAAAATATTTATAAATCCTATGAAGTCTCTTGTAGCTGTACCTTTGTTGAAAATTAGAGACAAATTGAATAAGAAAAAAATAACATTTCCTTCTTTCTTTTATTAAAACTTGCTCTTTTATATTTCTTCTCTTTCCATAGAAAGAGGTGGTGAGTGAACACCAAAGTTTTTTGAATTTTAAAAATGATATTGCTTTGCTTTAGTATAGAAAACATGATTGAAATTTGAACAATCATGTATTACTTTAGTGCCTGACAAAGATGTTGAAAACCGAATTTCTTCTTCTTGTGAGGCTTTTAGAGTGTAATAGCTGCACGTACCTTCAAAATATAATATTAGTATTTTTATGTATTATAAATCTTAGGTGGGGTTTAGACAGCAAAATTATACTTAAATGTTTGGCTCTTTTAACACTGAAACTCTAGTACAGTAAAACTTTACTAATTAAGTGACTAGCTCAATGGTTTTCATTTCCAAATATATTTCTTGTTATAGCTTAAAAGCCAAGGGCCTTTATAATGAAATGTATGTTAAAAATACGACATGAAATATAAATGGTAATATAGAGAGATATAGAGAAATGATATATTCTAATAAAATCTGGTGAGCATTGATATTCAGAAGTGAACGTTAGCAATGCTATATAATCAAAGATTATGCTCAGAGATGTAATCTGAATGTTAATTGTTCACATGTCAGTACATGAAAAATAAGAAAGTAGGTATATCTTTGTAGATGTTCATAAAATTAAGCCAGCACTATACTAAGGGCTCACATTCACTTCATTTTGTATAATGTAGGAAAGCTGTTTAAACAGTTATTATATCAGTTGTCGTAGATAATAAGGATTTTCAGAATTCAGGAAAACAAGGAGCTTATAAAATCAAAATCTAAGCAGATATAAGATTGGTTTCTAGGATGTATTGCATTTTATAGATATCGTAAATAATTTAAATGTTTTAAATTTTCTTTTGTGTCCCTAGATGTTCCTTGAGAATGAGTATACTTTACATATATTAATATTTTGTGTTCCCCTAGTGATTCTGGTCCACTCCGCATTGCAAAAACTCCATCACCACCAGAAGAGGCTTCCCCACCACTTAGTCCTGAAGCTGATGCAAATCATACATTGACAACCCCAAGTTCTCCAGCACCTGCACGTCCTAAATCTCCTTCACAGGTAACACAATGCAGATAATATTTTGGCACTCATAATCACAATTTAAGGTTGCTATGGTAAAATCAATTTTGAGCTAAAAGCTTCCAGTTGCCTCTGATATCGATCCAAGCAGTAAACCTAGCGTGTCTATTTTTATCCTCCTGATATAAAAAGGATATAATTTATTTTCCTGCAGGCTGAATGTGATTTTATTTCTTTTGTCATTGATGGTTTACTGATCTATGTCAGCATTACATGCTAGTGGCTGTTGAAGAAATTCTGGCTAGGTCTGCTGATGACCAATTAAACTACCTTTCACAGATTAGAACATCCAAATTGCTTTTCAGATTCTAAGTACAGAAGACAGCTATAGTCCACAACAGAAGTCTCTGCAGCTTTTGGTTTATTGACACATGCCTTATTTATGTAAGATAGAAATGTTCCACGGCAAATACTCTTCCTTCAATGGATTTGTGGACTCCACTTCACTCACGATTATTTCAAAAACTTGACACAGGATCTCCTGGGATGAACAAATTTTAATAGTCAATCCTATATATATTCACCTTTGCTTGCCAGCCATTATTTTTCTCCATTCTTCTCAGAGTAATTTTTCTTTTACGTCTTTCTATTTCTTCTTCCTTGCCAGCCCAGAAGAGACCATTTTTACCTATAGGAAATACCACCTCTAACATTATGAGAGCCAGTATATCTCTCTTAGGCTCATTATGTATTTATCTAAACAGAGTAACTGACTGAACAAATACTTAAAATAAAATTTAACTAGTTTCAAGGATTTCATGATCCAAAAACTATATAGAAAATGTGTAAAAATTGTCCTGCTAAGGATTTTGCCATTCCAGGATGGATAAAGTATTAATGGCATGGTATTCATGGGGAAAAATACTCTGAAGCTGCTCATCCCCATTCCACACTGTTGGGTAAGGTTCTTCTTTCTCCTTACTAATTATAATACTAACTTCATCAAAGACTCACATTTGGTTTCCAGGAGATTTCTATCCTCTTGAGCAAATCACACCTGCAAAAAAGAGATGAAAATACCCACACACAAAAAATAGTTGACTCAAGGTTATATGCTGCCCACACTGAATAGTGGTACTTCCTTCTGCTATAACAAAGATTTTCATTTTTAGAATGATTCAAAAGGAGGGGCATCATGTGTGGTCTTTAGTTCAGTGCCTGTTTGGCTGTTCCCTAAAGCCAGCACTGCTTTCAAAATATAGTTCACTGCAGCCAGACAGAAGGGGGTAGTCTTTCAACACACCGGTAGGAATTCCGCAGGTTGCTAACTCTTTCATATGCCATGAATTGTCCAGATGGGAAGTCCATTGATGGCATAAGGAGTTTGATCTGGCTCAAACTCAAATCTCGAGTTTCAAGATTGATGCAGCCTTCCATCTTTCTGAGGTTGGGAAAATGGGGACTCAAATTGTTGGAGGCAATATGATAACTCAGTAAATTGTGTAGAGAGGACTGTAAAGCAGCATATAACTCTAAGTGCTATTGCTATAAAATGGAAAACATTATCCTTAACTAAAGCTCAATTTCTGCCTGCCTCATTGGTGGAATGTCTGTAAGATGAAAGTCATTTGTGAGGATATGTTCCAGAGGTGGTATTCAGCAGGTTCTGACCAGTTCAGGAGAACCGGTAGCAGAAATTTTGAGTAGTTCGGAGAACCGGCAAATGCCACCTCTTACTGAGATTTTACAGTATTCTTTCCCTGCCATGCCCACCAAGCCACACCCACAGAACCAGTAGTAAAAAAAAATTGAATCCCACCACTGGTATGTTCCTTGGCAAACAGTAAATGGACCATCTTTGTACTGTGACAAGCAAGAGACTCTGAGAATATTGCTGAGAGATCTTTTTCATTCCCCTTTCCTGTGCTGTCACCCAGATTTCATCCTGAGAAAAAGCACCGCAGTGTTTTTTAAATTTGGGAACTTTATGATGTGAAATTTCCCAGCTAGCAGTACAAACTAATTCTGCCAATTTTCAGGTGTATAGTGAAATTGGAGCTTCCCAGCAGAGCTTCTAATGATTGAGAGATAACTACATGAATACAATTTTGGTATTTTAAAATATTTGTTTTGTAATTTAATACTATCTTTTATGCTTTAGAGATACTCCTTGACTTACAAACATTTGTATAGCAACCATTTGAAGTTACAACAGCACTGAAAAAAGTGACTTATGACCAGTTTTCACACTTATGAGTGTTGCAGCATCTCCATGATCACATGATTGGGTGCTTGGTAGCATGTATTTATTACAGTTGTACTGTCCAAAGGTCATGTGACCATCATTTGTAACCTTCCCAACTGGCTTCTGAGAAGCAAAGCCAATGGGAGAAGCCACCTAACAACTGCATGGTTTACTAAACAACTGCACTGATTTTTTTAACAATTATGACAAAAAGGTCATAAAATGGGTCAAAACACACTTAACAATTGCCTTACTTGACAATGAAATTTTGTGGTCAAAAATTAAGGACTACCTATATAAAACAACGATTCTATTAGATATGGTAGAATAACAAAAACCAAGTAAATAAAACAAAATGTATGGGAATATACATCAATCCTTAGATAAGTAATTGAATAATTGCAAAATAACCCTTCCCAGACTGGGAAATAAAAGGAAGGTAAAAATTGCATATTAAAGTTCCCATCTATGATTAATATAAAAAATATGTATTTTTCTTGCTGTGACTTTCTATGAACTAAGAAACAATGTCACTTGAAAGCTTGAAAGTAATGTTTTATGCCTAAATGATATAGAAATTGCCAGTTCTAGTTCTGAAACACTGAAAAAAATAATTATTACTATGGTATATACTTTTGATATATTATTTAATCTTTCAAACATACTTATTTTTCTTTCAGCTGAGGAAAGGACCTCCTGTCCCACCATTGCCTAAACTCACACCAGTGGTAGACATGCAACAAGAAAATATCATCAGTTTATTTGATGATAATTTTGTCCCAGAAATAAATGTAACAACCCCTTCACAGGTGAGTCCAGATTGAATATATCAATCTTCTCCAGCATCATGTATTCAAATGGATAGTGCTACAACTTGTTCATCCCAAACCAAAAGACCTTGGCACATCTTTTTGAATGGAGATGATAGGAATGACTCACATTCAAGCTATGAAACATAGAATAAGTTGTTCTTGTCACTGACAAAATATTTCCATTAATTTGAGACTGTTTTATACGTTTAGGGATGAAACCTCTAGTTCACAAAAACTTGGTGGCATTTGATAGTGGATCCCACAAACTCTCTGTGCTTGAATGAGCATGACTAAAATTTGTCCAGGATGAGTACTGACTATGTAAATGTCTATGATCCTTAGTCCTAACAGATTGTATTTATTTAAAGAAAAATACACACATGATGAAATATTAACTGAATCTGAGCTTGAGGCTAATGAAATCATTCATTAATTCCTCACAAAATGGTTTGCATGAAACAATTGAAAGCTAATTCAGAAAAGTCTGCTGTCTTACCCATTTTCTATTATATCCCATGACATCTTCCTTTATTCTGGACTAATGCCACTGAATTCCAATCTCTTATTATTTGCCCTGATGAATATTTTATGAGGAAAATAATTTCTACATTCCAATTAAAGATTATGTTTAAAAAATTTGTAATTCCAACAGAATGAAGCTCCTGATGATAAAAAAGAAGAATCTTTGTTAGATTTTGACTTTGATCCTTTCAAGCCTGATAATGCATCTACTGTGGTAACCCATTCTCCAGTATCTCAGGTATTTGTGTGTCTGTGTCTGTGTTATTATGATACTATGTGTCCCATAATGAGGGTTGTTTTATACCACAATCCTGTGGAAACCTAGAAATGTAGCTTTAATTTGTTAAAAGCAAGTTGCTGATTCTTATATTAAATGTTATAAAGAAGTGTAATAATTAAAAATAAATGTTTGATATGGCTGGCTAATATAAGTTGCAGTGATTGGAAATGGCTAAATGGCTTAGGTGATGTCTTGCAGAAGCAGATACAATTATACAAAATAGGTCTAAAATCAATAATGAAAAATGTGCACAATTTTGGCCAGTTTACAAAATGTATGCTGATTACAGAATTTAGAATTTTTCTTAGTGTTTAGTAACATATATTAGAAATGAAGTGAGTAACAGAAAGTACTGAATAATGTGAAGTTAGGCTTGATGGGAGCCAGAATGAACATGTAGCTTTGATGCCACGTAGGGTTGCATATATTTTTTTTTAAATTAAATTTTGATTGAATTTTACACAGTTAAAAACAACACAACAACAAAACCACACAAATACAAACTTTGCAGTGTTCTATCATCGAGTTTCCCAGTTTCTACTAACTACACACACACACACATTTATTCATTTATATTATTTTTTATTCCTATTGTCCTACTATCCAACCAGTTATACCATTTTTTCCAGACTATAATATATTCTTTCTCTTCCCTCTCTTGCAATTCTAACATGAGTTTTACCATTTCTGTGCAGTCCCTAATTTTCTTTATAATCATATTGTCTGTGGAAGTACTGTCTAATTTCCAGCTCTGGGCTGCATGTCTTATTTGGAAACATAGCGGATTAACTATTTAATCAATCCAAGCTGCAGGTTTTTCCCAAAGCACTTCACTTTTAGATTTTATTATTTCAGACTTTACTAATAAATGATATTCAATCCTACAAGTGTTATTTCTTTTTATCAGAACACCTGTCCTTAACAATAGATTTAAATTAAACATTTGTTCCTGGGACCTAGAGCCACTGACGTTAGCCATTTAAAAATGCATTACTGTACATTGTGTCACAAATCATGTAAGAAATTAGACTTCTGTTAATCAGACCAAAAATCTGATTGTCTACTTATGTCTGTTACTGATATTTCAAAAAATGATTACAAATTTTGCTGCTTATATTATATATGTTGTGTGTATGTGGGTGTGGCCTTGTGCACATGCATGCACACTTTCAAATCAGTTTTTCACTCCTGGTGATTACCTGACACAAATTTCTGCAGTTTTCTTGGCAAAATTTTAGAAGTGGTTTGCCATTGTTTCCTTCTTAAGGCTGAGAGAGTGATTGGCCCAAGGTCATCCAAGGACTTTGTGTCTAATACAGGATTAGAACTTATATGTTTCTAGCCTGATTCCTTAGGTGCTATACCAGTCTTGTTCTCTATAACACCATCTTTGCTTATACAATTTTTGTAATAGAAAAGTTTCTAGACAACTGAAACAAAATATACTGTTCATACACATGAACAATAATAGATTTCCATTTCAAAATATGTTTTTTAAAGTCACCTCTGCATATACAAGTTTATATTGAATTACAATTTCCCACCTGACTAGTAACTATTTTATTTTATTTTTTATTTTACTAGTTTATTGATTTGAGATGTTATACTCTAAATTTTGGTATAAAATGAAAGCAGAAAATAGCTTACAGCATGTTGAAAACTACAAAATTGGTTTCCAAATTAAATAACATTACAAATAATTAAAAAGCAAGCATAGACCTAACAGGCAATCAAATTAAAAATGGATGTAGTGCAATAAAATCTCTTCCCTTTTAAAACAACCCATTTTTCTATTTCTATGGATCTGTATACCATATACTGAAGGCCTTGAGGACCAAGTAGGCCATAGGTAGAATGAGGTGTGCAAAGCTCAAGTCAATTAGCAAAGGCTTTCAGACTTGATATATGGGACAGGGAGAAGAAACCTTAAAGTGCAATTTGAGCTGGCACTATAAATAAGCTGAAGTTTCTTATAGTAAGTGGTTTGATATTGTCAAACCTCCCCTTATACTTGAGGTCATTAAAGAAGTATCTGAGAAGTTTAAAGGCACCATGGCAGAGTTAAAACAGACCACAAAGAAGTCATCAATATCGTTGGTTTTTAGTAAATGAATTTTTTTTGTATTATCCAGGAAAAGAATACTTTACCTGATACGATACTAAATAGGAAGAGCTGTTAAATCTACTTCTTAAAAGGTTGTTTTATGATAGAAGTTATTGATTATATGCACTATGATTATCTTATACTGTTAAAGATGTTTGTTGAAATATACTTAGAAATGAAATTGTGATATGATTGAGAAACTAAAATTGAAGAATGAGTGGCAACAGAAAAACTGACTATACATTCACAGCAGAAATCTAATAAATCCAAGCAGAAATAATTTCGTTAAATAAAACATATCACATAACAAGACAAATCTAGGACACTTAGAATATCGTTTTTGAAGAAAAAAGAGAAATTGTGTTTTTTTTTTATCTAAATGGCCAAAATAGAAATGACCAATAATCACAGATGATGAAGTATTTTTTCTCGATCCTGAGCTCAAAAACAAAGACAGCTTGATGGCCCCACGCCTCTGCAGGGTTGTTTGCAAAAATGAATCAAACAAACGCAAATTCATCTTCTCAATAAATTCACTCGCAAAGAGCAACAACTACCACAATAACCTTCATTCTCATCCTGATCTAACCTTACAGCAACGTGTACGATTTCGTGAACTACGCTCTGAGCTTAAAAGACTACATGAATTAGGTAATACTAATTTATATACATTGACTACCGTGCAGATTGTATCAAAAGCAAGAGCCACAACCCACATCACAATAACCATCACCCAAACATCCAATGTTGGGGCTGCACGCCCCTTACTTTCTCCAGACCCACTACTTCATATCTTAAATGCAAATTACTCAATGCAAGAAGCCTCGCAAATAAAATGCATGAATTCCTCATCTTACTAAGCACAGCCATATTCGACATTATATTTGTCTATGAAACATGGTTGAATGCATCTTTCCCAGATTCCATTACCACTGTAAGAGAATATCACGTTTATCGATCTGATTGCGAAATCTGTAGAGGAGGTGGAGTTGCTATATTCTATAAAAAGTCTCTAAATCTAAAAAAGATTCAAATTATACAAGAGCTTGCTCTTCCTGAGATCATTGTCTGTGAACTGCCCTTAAATACCTCAATCCACTTCTTACTATGCTATTGAGCCTCTGACTGTGCAAACAACTAACTTCACTACTGACATGGGCTGCCTCTTGCCCACACCCTCTTATTTTTCCTGTGACCTCAACTTACCTCTTATAAATTGGACACTAAATGAATGTACATTCATTTATGAACTCATTCATACAACCCTGTACAATGCCGTTACCACACTGGAACTGGATCAGTTAGTATATAACAACACCAGACTAAACAACTGCCTTGACCTCATCTTCTGCAACAGCTCAAACTCAATTTATGGCCTACAAATACAGGAACCATTTTCAAACAGTGACCATAGCATGATTGACTTTTGTCTAAATTTACACCCTCTCAAAGAGGATCATAATGATGGATCTCCAAAATACAATTTTATAAAAGCCAATTATGAACTCATAGCTGCCAACTTTTCATCTCTTAATTGGTACATTCTGTTCTCTGGCTGTAACACTACAGAACAACATTATAATGCTTTCTTGCTTGAACTCAAAAGAGTCATTAAACTATATGTTCCATTAATAACCCCCCCCCCCCAAAAAAAACAATTTACCCAAAATAATAAGAAAATTTCAATCTAAAAAAAATCCTTATGGTGTGAATACAAAACTAAATATGTAACTAACTTTAAAAACTGATACAACACCCTATGCCGACAGATAAAGGCAGAATGCATTAATTACCACTGCAAGCAAGAGGAAAATCTTCTACACACAAAATCCACCAGTGCCTTCTATAACTTTTAAACACCAAACTTAAAGACTCAAAAACCATCCCACTCCTAAAAGGACCAAATGGGAAATACTATAGCAATGAAGCCATTAAGGCAAACCTCTTCAACGCATTCTTCAGTTCAGTCTTTGTAAACAGTAATGGCTTATGCCCCATATTTCCTAATCATACAATGCAATGATCTACAAATTGACTTTACTGAAGATAACATAGAAAATGCACTACATCACCTAAAACCATCCTTATCTATTGGCCCTAATGGCTTATGTGCATATTTCTTAAAAAAGCTCTCCACTACCATAGCAGAATCCCTAAGCATAATATATGAGATATCATTCAGAACCAGCTCCTTACCAAACCTATGGTCTTTAGCAACGGTCATTCCTATCTTCAAAAAAGGTGACCCCCTGCCTGGTTGAAAACTACAGACCAATCTCATTGTGTTGTGTCACATGCAAAGTTATGGAATCAATTATTAATCAATGCATTACCTTCCACCTAGAGTCAAACAGCTTACTCTCCAATAAACAATTTGGCTTCAGAAAAGAATTGTCCTGCAATTTGCAACTTCTACACTGAAAAAAACATATGGACTATATTACTTGACCAGGGCAAAGCAATAGATGTAATTGACATAGACTTCTGCAAAGCCTTTGACTCAGTGGTACATGACAAACTACTATTCAAATTAAATTCTTACAGCATTTCTGGATCCCTTCACAAGTAGATTACTGCCTTCCTGCCTTCAAACAGGCAACAAATAGTAAAAATAGGAAACGCCCTAACACACCCTGCACGAGTTATTAGCAGTGTCCCCCAAGGGACACTCTATATACATGACCTTTGTGATCACCTTATAAGCAACTGCGTCCTCTTCGCTGATGATGTAAAACTATTCAGCACCACCGACAATGCTACCGTCCTTCAAAACAACCTTGATTATGTATCTGAATGGTCGAATAGTTGGCAACTCTAAATCTCGACCAACAAATGCTCTGTCCTACACATTGGTAAAAAAAAAAAATACACCAAGTACAAGCTAGGCAGATATGATCTTGTTGGTGACCCTCACTCTGTCAAGGACCTTGGTGTTCTCATATCGAATGACCTAAGTGCCAAAACTTACTGCAACAGTATTGCCAAAAAGGCTTTAAGAGTTGTTAATCTAATTTTACGCAGCTTCTCCTCTGGTAATACTGATTTGCAAACTAGGGCATTCAAAACCTTTGCTTGACCAATACTTGAATACAGCTCTGCTGTCTGGAATCCGCACTGTATATCAGACATAAATACAATTGAGCAAGTCCAGAAGTATTTTACAAGAAGAGTACTACATTCCTCTGTTTGCAACAGAATACCCTACACCACCAGACTTGAGATTCTAGGCTTAGACAACCTTGAACTACGCCGGCTAAAATTGAACTTAAGTATAGTACATAAAATCATATGTTACAATGTTTTACCAGTTAATGAATAGTTCAGTTTTAACCACAACAACAGATATAAACTTAATGTAAACCACTGCAAACTTAATTGTAGGAAGTATGATTTCAGCAATGGAGTAGTCAATGTCTTGAACTCACTACCTGATTCTGTTATCACATGCTCAAACCCCCACTCCTTTACCCTCAAACTAACCTCTATAGACCTTACCCCATTCCTAAGAGGTCTGTAAAGGGCGTGCATAAGCGCACAATCATGCCTACCATCCCTGTCCTATTGTCCCCAATTATTAGTTCCTATTTCTTATATTTAAACTTATGTTTATTCTTATTTTATAATGTAAGCATTTAACTAAATAAATAATTTTTTTAAAGTAGCAATTAGAGTTAAGGGGGAAAAGAAGGGAGAAAGGAAAGGAGGAGATTAGAATGATTTTTCTTACAATATTTTTTTCCTTATCTTTTTTTTTTAACTTTTTTAAAATCTATTTTTACCATCAGATTTCAAAGTTTGCTATACAGGCAATTCTCAACTTAAAACCATTCATTTAGTGTCTGTTTAAAGTTACATCAGCACTGATAAAAGTGTCTTAGGACCACTTTTCACACTTATGACTGTTGTGGCATCCCCATTGTCACATGATTGATATAGGGTTGCTTGGCAACTGGCATGTATTTCTGACAGTTGCACTGTTCCAGGGTCACGTGATCACTAGTTGTAACTGTTAGATATGGGCTAGATTAAAGAGGCAGGACAACAGTAGAAGGAAAGGATTTCTTTATTTAGCTCTGAACAAAGATTGCCACCAGGTGTGCCTGCTGTTCTTTTTACAGATTGCTGTCCACAATTTCAGCCACTGATGGCTGTTCATTTTCCTGCCTGGAAAATGAACCAGTGGGGGAAGTCTGACATCACTGACTTTTCCCCATTGAATATCTAACACCCCTCCCCTCCTGGAAGAAGCATTCATCCGACACTGACTTTTGCCCATTGACACCCCTCCCCTCCTGGAAGAAGCATTCATCCGACACTGACTTTTGCCCATTGACACCCCTCCCCTCCTGGAAGAAACATTCATCTGATCAGCTCTCACTCACAGACATAATCACGTAAGTAGGTGGGACTCCTGTGTGTGTGACTGGACCTTCGCAGTTCAACCTCACCAGCAGTGGCAATCTGACTAGTTGGGGTCTGTTGTCACTCCAGAGCCAGCCCTTTGAGCTGCCTCAAGGTTTTTCAGGGGCAGGACTGGCTCTTACGGAACAGAGGGCTCTGACTTTCTTTGCTGGATTCTCCCCCCTTCAGCTAAGTTATCCTGCGGTGTACTTGAGTTTGAGTTCCACCCTAGAGTGGGGAAGCTTCTGTAATTCTTTCCATTCCATTGTTTCTACATCTTTGGGTGCAGCTAGGTGTTTTGTAGAGGCGATTTCCACAATATCCCAGGAATAGAGCTCTCTTCCTCTGTTCTGTTGTATCCTGCAATGAATTTGCTTCTAAAAACATTTGAAATTGTCCCATGTACGTGACCCAGTCATGCTTTGTTGGATCAAAAGGTTCTGGTTGAGCGTGGGTGGACATTCTGATGATCAGCACGGTGATAGCAGCATTCTGTTGTAAGAATTTTCCATCTACACCTCGTTTCCTTTGTTCTCTTCTAGTATCCCATCCTTGTTGTCAGTGTTAGATATGGGCTAGATTGAAGAGGCAGGACAACGATAGAAGGAAAGGATTTCTTTATTTAGCTCTGAACAAAGATTGCCACCAGGTGTGCCTGCTGTTCTTTTTACAGGCTGCTGTCCACAATTTCAGCCAGTGATGGCTGTTTATTTTCCCACCTGGAAAATGAACCAATGGGAAGTCTGACATCACTGACTTTTCCCCATTGAATATCTAACAGTAACAGAGGTGGTATTCACGAGGTTCTGACCAGTTCTGGAGAACCGGTAGCGGACATTTTGAGTAGTTCGGAGAACCGGCAAATACCACTCTGACTGGAAATTTTACAGTATCCTTCTCCTACCATGGCCACCAAGCCATGCCCACAGAACTGGTAGTAAAAAAAATTTGAATCCCACCACTGAGTAGTAACCTTCCCAGATGCTTCCAACAAGCAAAATCATTGGGGGAAGGCAGTTTTCCTTAATGACCACATAATTCATTTAACAACTCTGGTGATTTGCTTAACTCTGGCAAAAAAAATCATAAAATAAGCAAAACTCACTTAACTGACTTGTTCAGGAACAGAAATTTGGAGCTCAATTGTTGTTATAAGTTGAGGACTATCTGTAATGTAAAGTTCATTTTATGTATGCCTGTGTATTCTTTTCCCTTTTTGTTTTTGCTATTATTTTATTTTCTTAATTTAAAAAAATAATTAAAAATAAGGGATGTGATAATTCAGTCAGGCTATCAACAATGCTCTTGAGAGCTACCAGTTTACCACAAGTGTGGGGTTTAGCAGCAAACCTCCTGGAGAATTACACTTTAAGAGGTAAAATTAGAATTCCTTTTCATTGGATAAAACTAATATAATTTTTTTGGAATATGGTAGGGGAGGGGTTAGGATACACCCAGATCCAATTCTCTAATCTATAACTAACTCCTTTGCCAATTTCGGTTTATTTATTTATTTTGTCAAATGTTTACAATATAATTGAAATAAGAATAAACATAAGTTTAAATACATGAAATAGGAAGTAATAATTGGGGACAATGGGAAAGGGACGGTAGACATGATTGTGTGCTTATGCACGCCCCTTACAGATCTCTTAGGAATGGGATGAGGTCGATAGAGGTTAGATTGAGTGGGGGTAAAAGAGTGGGGTTTGAGCATGTGATTACAGAATCAGGTAGTGAGTTCCAGACATTGACCACTTTGTTTCTGAAATTGTACTTCCTGCAATTGAGTTTGGAGTAGTTTACATTTAGTTTATATCTGTTGTGTGCTCTTGTGTTGTTGCGGTTAAAGCTGAAATATTCATTAACTGGTAAAACGTTGTAACATATGATTTTATGTACTATGCTAAAGCCCAATCTTAGCCGGCATAGTTCAAGGTTGTCTAAGCCTTGAATCTCAAGTTTGATGGTGTAGGATATTCTGTTGCGAACAGAGGAATGTAGTATTCTTCTTGTTATATACTTCTGGACTCAGTCAATTGTATTGATGTCTGATATACAGTGCGGATTCCAGACAGTGGAGCTGTATTTAAGTATTGGAATAGCAAAGGTTTTGAATGCCCTAGTTTGCAAATCAGTGTTACCAGAGGAGAAGCTGTGTAAGATCAGATTGACAACTGTTAAAGCCTTTTTTGTGATGTTGTTGCAGTGAGCTCTGGCACTTAGGTCATTCTATATGAGAACTCCAAGGTCTTTGACAGAGTGAGGGTCGTCAACGAGGTCATATCCATCTAGCTTGTATTTGGTGTATTGATTTTTTTTACCAATATGTAGGACAATATGTTGGTCGAGATTTGAAGTTGCCAACTGTTTGACCATTCAGACACATAATTAAGGTTGCTTTGAGGGAACATAGCATTATCAGTGGTGTTGAATAGTTTTACATCATCAGCGAAGAGGACTCAGTTACTTATAAGATGATCACAAAGTTCATTTATATACAGTGTAAAGAGTGTGAGTCCTAGAACACTCCCTTGGGGGACACCGCTGTTAACTGGTACAGGGTTTGATAAGGCATTTCCTTTTTTTTTAACTAATTGTTGCCTGGTTATGCACATGTATAATCACATTGTTATCCAATGATGCTTTACAGCACATAAAAAGATGTACATATGAGGTTTTGAACATTGTCCTTCTTTCCCTTCTCAGACGCTACCTTGGGATCTGTGGACGGTATGGTTGGCTTTTATTTCTTTGTTTGTTTGTTTTATATTTCAAGTTTTGTTTTATATTTTAATGTGCAAAATATATCAATCACAAAAAAGTTGTCTAAATTTTGAGAGGCCAGTTAGTGAAAGAAATAAGTAAGAAATAAGTAAGAGAAAGAAATAAGTAAGAGAATAACAGTTAAATGTTGATTTCTGTACATTAATAGTCACAAATTACTGATACCGATACTCTGTACCATAAATTTATAAATGAACTTTAAACAAACATAATTCAAAAGCACATCATGTTGTTGGATTAATTGGTTTTATTGGTTTTAGTTCACTGAGTAGACTCTATCCAGTGGAAATCATCTTTATCTGCATTTAAGACTGACCATGAAACAAAAGCTTGAAACATTTTGATTTTGCTCAGTTAAACCACCACCCCACCCCACCACCCCATCTTCAGATCTAGAAATTATTTTAAAGTAATTTTACTGGTTGAACAGAGCAAAGCTGATGCTCATTATCCCTCCCTCTAACATGGACTGTGCCCTGGCTTGGATGCTCCATCGCCTCAATCTGTAAATACCTTCTTGGTGTTCTTTGAGCTTACTTGTTTCCTTGCAGACCTTTTGTTTTCCAGCTAAGTAGCATCTTCAGTGTAAAAAGGGAATAGGGTTTGCTCTGTTTATATACTGTATATTGCTCTGTCAATGATGGTAGGAGTGTTGATTTCTGCTTGGTAGTTCTTGTTTAGTCTGTTTTCTGCTTGATTGTTTGACTGACTTCATAGTTTCTTGACTGAGGTATTTTTTTTTCTGCTTGATTTTTTTTTCTGCTTAACCCTGGTGTTAATCCAGGGTTAATCCTCTTATTGGGTGATTGGTTGCTGGTAAGAGGTGTTCTGGTCTTTTTGTTTCCTTTGTAGCTTTTTGTCTCTTGAATAGTGTGTAAATGTTTATTTCTATATGCTTATTGATGGCTGATTTCTTTGAGTTGCCAAGCTTCTAGGAATTTCTGATTTGGATTTGGATTGATCTAGGATGTTCACAGTTTCCTATTTGGGACTATGGTTAAGCCTGTTCATGTGTTGCAAAATTAAGGCATTTTCATTGTGTCTTCTGACTATTAGTTGGTGTTTATAAATGCACTTTGGATCTTTCAATTTATTTAATAAGTTTCTTTTCAGTAACATGATGCAATATCCTCTCCATTTTCTCTGATCTTTTATTTTTAATATTTTCTTTCCTCACAGACCAATAATGAGGTGGTGCAGCCGGTAAGTAATGTCTTTCTTCAAATGTAGATTTCCTTACAGATGTTACAAATTGTATTAATTCCTTAATTTAGTCAGTTAATTTTGAGTTCTGTATTTTTTTCTCCCTAACCTTTATCATGCTCATCTTGTTTTTTTTTCTTTACTTTCCTACTTATTTAAAGCCTGATTCTCCAAAAAGTCATTCCCTGTGTAACCTCATCATGGAGGAAAATCCAGACAGTGGGTCAACAGAAGATCTTAACAAGCCCCAAACTGATTTAGGTTTACTCAATGTGGGCCTAGATCCAGATTCCCTCAAGGAGGCAGCCATTGAGGGCCAGGAAAGAACTGCTGGTGATCCTATGCCTTTTCTTCAGGCAGAGGAAAGTTCAGCAGAATTATCTGATATGCTAGCTACTCCTACTTTGCCTGCTGTAGGCGAGCATGTGGATGGTGCATCATGGACAGCTTATGCGAATGAACATGAAACTACTTTCCTAAAACCCTGCCTGGACATTAGTCATAGTGAAGATGATGGCATTGACCTGGTGGAGAATAACCAACTTTTAGTGAGTGAAACTTTGGCTGAGACGTCTTCAGTGAAAACTGACAGCTTTTCGGGTGGCAAGCCATTTAGTGTGGAAATGACAAAAGAGATGAATCCGGGCTTAGAAGACACTTTCTGGACAAATACAGATCCACGTGAAAAGGTAGACACCAGAGGTCCTAAGCTCAAGGAGTCCTTCAATTAAATTGAATGTCTTAAGCCATTAGGACAACCTGATAATGAAGCTGTAAAAAAGACTGAGATAGAAATTAGACAAGATTTAGAATGTACAAATGGGCAACAAGAAACAATTACTGATAGTTGTCCCCAGAAATTTGATGTAGAATTTAATAGAGCTGATGTGGTTAATGAGACAGTTGGAAGAGATTTCAAGAATATGAGCAGCTCTACAGCTCTAGAACATAATAGACTTGAAATGCAAAATGCTTTGTGTTCCCTGTGTCGGGATCCTGAAGAAACATGTGAGGATAAGGGGGCCATAAAATGCATACAGGAAAGTGATATGGCAAGTATTATAGAAACTGCTAACATTCAAGTCAAAGGCAAATTTTCTACAGAGATTGGAAAACTTGGGTATTATTTTGAAGCAAAAGAGGCAGAAGAGCTTTGTAAAAAACATGAAGACTGTGGCCTCAATATCTCTCAAGAGAATAAAGATATTGAATGTAAAGCTACCTGTATATCCTTTGACAAGGATATGACTCTGCAGCACGGGCTTGAGAATCCAACTAATGCATATTTCAGTATTTCTGGGTTAGAGAATATGGAAGGTAAATTGGAGGATAGGGAAATGTTTTGTTTGCCTGAAGAACCTAACATTAGTTTACACAAAGTGCTAGAGACAGAACCCTGGGATGACAGCTGGGATCCTACATTTAATTCTGATGCCTGGGGGTTTTTTAGCCAGTCAAGTAGTTATGATTCCTGTCCCTTTCCTCCCACACAATAATCTCTCGAAGGAAACTTGGATAATCTATGGCCAAGTTTCATACAAGATTTAGGAGAATTAAATAATAGCTGGGGAACTGCATGTGTAATGACCAGTCAGCAGAATCAGGAAGTGGCTTTACAGCAAGGATCATCTGGGGAAGAGACAAACATTAGCACCTGTGGATCAAACAAGATAAGTAGGCCACTGATTCTGTTCCAAATGGGAAACTCTGGAAATGCTAGCACCGAAAACTTCACTAGCCCCAAAGAAAATGAGACCAACAACTCAGATTTATCTGAAGATGAAATTGCTAACCGGAGATATGGATTGTTATACCAACAAACTGAGGCTGATGAAGAAGAGGTACCTACCCTATTATATAGCATAGTTTAGAAAAGAGAGATTCCCTAAGTGATATTTACCTTTGTATAAAATATGAATTTTATAAACAGCTCTCCTTATCTTTCTTTTGCTATGTAGTCATGCATTCATGGCACAATTCAACCATATAATTATGCTAGGTTGACCACAAAAAGGTTGACTGTTGAATATGCCATCTTACTTTGTACCACATCTTGTTTTGGAATTTTGCGTTTAGATAGTTTATGTTGCTGGCATCTCTTCCAATTATCAAAGTGTATCACTGTGCTTTCTTTTTATTATTTTTTTAAATTTTATTGTCATTCTTTCCCTTCACTTTAAAAGATGTATATGTTTGGGGCCATGCACAATTAAGACTTTGATATTAAAATCTGTCTTCTAATTTTTAATTTGGCCTAGGCATCAAGCAACACTTTTAATGGATTTGCACAGGTAAGGAGTAACTTTATTTTATTTATATATCTATTTATCTAAAATATTTTGTAGCCATCCTTCTTAAAACACAACTCTGGGAGCTCACAACAACAATAAAACCCTAGATTACATTTTAAAAAAAGCCACTTCAGTAACCCACCCAAGGCCTCCTTACTCTATCCCAGAGTAAAAGGTCAGGTCTTGATGACCTCCCAGAAGACTAAAAGAGTTGAGGCCTGCTGTATCACTGGAAAGAGGGTACGCTATAAAGTAGGGGAAAGCCATGAAAAAGCACCTTTCTGAGGTCCTCTAGATAGCAATATTTCAGGGAACAGATTTGGAGCATGCTTATTGTATTTTATCCAGCGGATACTGTCAAAGACAAACCATTTTGCAATCAGTCCATTCCTGTGCCCTGTAGGGCTGTAAACATGATACCAGGATCTTTAATTTTACTTGGAAGGAAACTGGCAGCCAGTGCTGCTTGAGCAACACATGGGCAAATCTTGAAGCACCCAGCACTACGTGTGTCCATGTTCTGGACTAGTTGCAGCTATTGGGTAGTCGTCAAGGGCAGCCTAATGTAAAAGTATTGGAGTAATACAAAGATGGAAATAACTTAAGACATGAATAACAGTAAGTAAGGCTTCTCAATCCATGAAAGGATAAAATTTGCACTCAAGTTGAATCTATGCAAAGCCTTTTCCAGTCATGGCTGCCAACTACTTATTGATTAGGACCCGTGAATGCAGGAGGACCCTCAAATTGTACACAAGGTCAGTCCAAGAAAGTGCTACCTCATCAGAGTAAAACATGAATATCACCAAACACTGGGGGGACGGACGATCCAAAAGACATTCTATCTTGTAAGGGTTGAGTTGATGTTAGTTTCTCCCTATCCCTATAGAGGTATACAGACTTTGAATCTAAAGTAAGATCCCTTACTGCACCTGTGAGGAGCTCATTAAGGCCATGCCTTTTCCTGTACTTGTACAACAGTCTCAAAAAAATCATGTGGATTAAGAAACAGTAGAGAAGCAACAATGGTCTGCCTTCATGCTCCATGGATCCCTTATAAATGAAAAAACAATTCAAAGTACTACCCAAAAAATGTTAGTGTAAGAATGCTGTAATAATGAATGACATTGAATGAAATTTGCTGTTTAATAAGAAAATAGAACAGAAAAGTTTTAATGTCCAACCTTTATAATAATAATTCAGAATGCCTCATTTGATTACAAAGTCAGTTTGTTTCTGAAAGGAATGTTTTTGCAAATCTCAATCCCCAGAATCCATATTAGAAGCTTGCTTAACTCACTAAGAACTATGAAAAAAATGTCAATTATCAAATGCTGGGAAAATATTCAATTAAATAAGAAGACAAAATTAGAGTTGTATGTATTGGGGAATAGTTTTTTATATTGTACATAATTTTTAGAAGGTTTTTAAATGCTGATGCTTAAATGATTCTCTAGATGTATTCTTTCTATGTGTACATTCCCAGGATACCTCCCTGTTTTCATTGCAGCCAAGTCAGGAGGACATTATAGATAGTAAGGTAAGTTGTTGCTTTTTGTATCAACTTGTATTAACCTCACTTTCTAATTGCTTTTGGAAATTGCCATTTTAAATCTATTAGAGACTTCCAGAACAATAAGTTTGGAAAATATTGATATAGGATGTGTTCAACAAAGAAAATTAATTTTAAGCCTAATAGCTTAAAGAATTTAGTACAAAGTTAAATAAAATTTTGCTGTAAAAAAGTTATAAATGGACTAAAGTTTAGACACATTTTGAATATTTACTTTTATTGTAAATTTTTCTCTATCCTAGGTCATAACAAAGAGAAATGATGATTATAGAAACTTGAGACTAAAGATTCTAAGCAGAAGAAAAAAATAATATAAGCCTGTGCTTATCAGTTAATGTTGGGACTTAATGACACATATGACAAAATGACACAACATTATAACATCAGTAATATTAAAGAAAATATTTGAAGAGTAGAGCCAGACATTAGTAACTATGATACAGTAATTAAGTAATGATGCCTGCTTTTATGGATAGACTATGTTTAAAAGATATCAATGAAGGAATCAAAGATATGGAACAAATTTTATCTGACAAAACAATGTTGAAACTATAAATGACATGCAAAAAGAATCATTTTGGAAAAGAATATTCAAAAGAAACTTTGTAAAATTTTAAAATTTAAAAGACAACCATAAATGATAAACTAAGAAAATAATCTAGAAAATATTTTGTTATTGGATGTACAAAAGATGCTAATTAAAGCCTTGAAGAAATATGTGTGATGGGATGAAGCATTGAAGAGAAATCAAACCAGATTTAGGATTTAGGAAATTGTGTGAACCCAAACATCGAGCTTTATTTGTCTGCTTTTCCCAATTGAAGGCTGAAGAAGCAGCTCCATCTTTGGAAATCCAGGCAGAGGAAGACATCAATATTGCTGCCTCTGATACCAAGCCAGAAGCACAGGCTTTGGAGATTGATAATTCCACAGCTGAAACTGTGGTGAGTAATTGGTAAAGTGATTTTAGAATTGATTATCACCCAATTATTATAGACAGTCAGTAGAGAAAATCTTCATTTGGGTCTTTGCTGTTTGATGAGAGGATTGAACCTGTCCCACCAAGACCAATGTTCAAATCTCATACTAAGCATCAGGGGCACTGGGATAGGATAAAAAAGTCAGGATGGTGGGCAAAACACATAATCAAAGCCACATATAAACCTGTGTAAAATTTGCTTTTACTTTTTTTTATGCTTCACAGTTGCTAGGATTTATAGCTGCACTGAAAGACAAATGGAAACATTAATATTATTTGCAAGGGATTATATTAACATTCCCTGAGAATTAAAAGAATTAAAAGAAATGATTTTTCTTACATTAACATAAAACATCAAAATCATTTCACAATATAAAATCCCCTTTACTTCCTACATTGCTCACCATTCTTTTGTTTTTAATCCACAGCATGTTGCGATTATGACAACTGCATAACATATCTCCTTATTTGCATGTCATGGTTGTGGTTGGTTGAGGTTAGTACTTTAATCACTAGGAAATACCAGGATTGTAAGATAAATTGGAATGTGTATGTATAAGTGTAAATAAATGAATCAATGAATCTCCAGGGAGACGTGGAGCCTGGTGAGAGGTGAGAGCTGCGAAAGTTTTGACAGCAGCGGCGAAGGTGCTGGACAGCGAAAGAATTTGTGAAAAGGAAACCAGAAAATAATAAGATCTGAATAAAGCTGGAAGGGGCAAAAAAGAAGAGATACATAAGAGAAACTTTGTAGAGCATTAACTTTTTGGTGTTACATAGTCTATGAATAGAAAATAAAATAAAAATAGAGACTTGGAAATTTTGAAACTATGGTTAATAGCTAAGATGAATGGAGTCTCTATAAGAACAATGATTTTTCAATATAGAGTGTGACAATTAGAAGAGAGAGTCATCTGTTGAACATCTGTTGGACAGTAATTGGTAGTGTCAAAAAAAATCCTTATTGACTGTTCAATATAGTTACTATCAAATATCAATATAAGTTATATCTACTATTAAAATTGCTATATAGGATATTAGAATAAGATAGCCTAATTATATTGTGGTGATATTGCTGAGAATATTATAATTACTATAATTAATATTTTTATAAGGATAAAAATAAGATTAAGGAATTATTTAGCAACATTGATATTGGGATATTCTTATTGTTGTTCTTTGATTGTTGATTCCCTACCTAGGGCCTAAATCTCCCCTCCCCTCCACTGAATAAAGGGAACAAAGGAGCAAAAGAAAAATAGTTAAAGAATACTATCAATAGATGATTGGTTAATGCCCACATAAAGATAAAAAATATAAATTAACAGTGGAGGAACAAAGAGGTGGAAGTAATAAGTGGGATATTTTGTTAAACAATAATTTTTGAAAAATCTGTTCAATATGGCAAGCAACCCAAATTTGACAAAATAGGTGTGGGCTCCATGATGTCTTCTAGCCCTTCGACACAAAAATTGATCGAAGATATGATCCAGAGGGAACGATCTAACCCTATAAGGATCACCAAATAATGATGCAGAACATGCAAGAAGTTATGTAAAAAATCAAGAAGCCATGTTAAAAAATCATGAAGACTTTAAAAAGATTGGTGTTATAAGAAATGACACAAGCGAATTAAAAGAAAAGATGCAATTGATAGATGGGAAGTTTGAAGCCTTCCAGGTACAAATTACTAAAAAATGAGCAGAAACTAGTAGAAGTAGAAGAAAGACTCTCCAAAGAAGAAAAGAAACTTGTGGAGATGAATGAGAAACTAACCCTGGTTAACAAGGAATTAGAAACATCAGTGATCTTCTTAGAAGCAGAGAGAGCTGCCCAATATCTTCGGCTCCAAAATATAACAGAAGAAAAAGAAGATTTACCAGAAAAGATGACTGAATTATTGGGAGCTTTAGAGCAGGGGTGGGCAAACTTTTTGGCTCGGGGGGCCGCATTCACTTTTAAAATTTGACAGACGGGCCGGGTCAGCACAAGATTTTTTGGGAATCGCCCCCCCCTTCCCCCCCTTCTTCTCCTTCTCCTCCCCTCGGAGGCCCCCTGAGTCAGGAGTTGCTACTGCCGGCACGGCTCCACGCGGCTCCAGTCCCACGTTGCCTTGGGAAGGGAAAGGCAAAAAGGAAGAGCCGCGGCGGTGCTTTGCAACAGCAGCAGCGGCACTGGAGGTTCAGGCTCAGCGGCTCCTGGTTTTGCCTTTCCCTTCCCAAGGCAACGCAGGACTGGAGCCGCGCGGAGCTGCGCCGGCGGTAGCAACTCCTGACAGCCCCAGCCGGACACCTGAGCAGAGCCCGGGCAGAACTGCCTGTTGCTGCTGCGGGCGCTGCTGCGGGTGTCTGGCTGCCCAAGTAAAGAACCGCACCAGCTCAGGGCAACTGTGAGGAGCAAGAGGGGAGAGGCAGAGAAGGAGGCAGAGAAGGAGGAGAGCAGCTGGTCAGTTGGGGGAGGCTTCTTGTGCTGCGAAAGAGGCGGCTAATGATCTCCGGCTCCACTCTGCTTCTCCAACATCCGGCGCTGCCCTGTTCTGTGCACCGGCTGCTCGGACTTGCTGGGCCTGACACAGAACAGGGTGGCGCCGGATGTTGGAGAAGCAGAGCTGAGCCGGAGATCATTAGCCGCCTCTTTTGCAGCACAAGAAGGGTGGTGCCGGACCATTGGAGAAGTGGAGCAAAGCCGGAGATTAGTAGCTGCCTCTTTCGGCGCAGAAAGCT